CGGGGCTGGCTGGCATGTGGTGCTGGGGGATTGAACCGCGGTCCCCGATGCCCTGCCAAGCTTGTTCTAAGTAGGTGCCCTAGACCACTGAGCCATCTCTCCAGCCCGAGCCCACCAATTTAACAACTAACAAATTTAACAATTTATCCAAGGCCCTGTTTTTTTTGTGTTTTTTGATGGGGGAGTTGTACCTGGACATGTAGCTTAGAAAAGACCTCAGGTTCAGTAGTACTTCCAAAAAAGTTTGATCACAGAGCATAAGTTCAAAAACTGGTATACTGCTTTACAGTACATATTATGTGTATGGTATAAATTTGGAATTTGTGACAGTGAAAACTATCAATCTTTTCAGTCTGTGTCCCTTTCTTTCTTGGAGTGTATTAACAAATGCAAAATGTCTGAATCTTGGCCCATATCCTTTTAGAAGAGATTTCTGTGCTACCTTATTTCAAAACTAATAGGGTGTATTTGGATCAGAATTAACATACTGGGCTGGGGAGATAGCTCAGCCACATAAGTGCCTGCCTGGCAAGCACAAGTCCCTGAGTTCAATCCCTGGTACCACAAAAACAAAAAACAAAACAAACAAAAAACAATTAATGTAACTTTGGTATAATTAAGTCTTAATTATTTCTTAAATACTGTAATTTTGAATATTTCTTTGATGGCTTTGAAGCACTTTTCAGGTATTTGATCATTCAAATATGGCTCAAGGGTCTCATCTTCCATATAGATGGCCAGACTTACCACCACAGTTCACAAAATGTGCTATCACCACATTTTCACAAAAGATTTAACTTTCTGGTGTTTTTTTTTTTTTTTTTGTTTTTGTTTTTTTCTTTTTTCTTAGTTGTGTTGATAGAGGAAGCTTGATAATAATTTGATGTGTGTTTTCTTTTTCTTTCTTTTTTTGTGATAAGAATCTCTCTATGTGACCCAGGCTGGCCTTGAATTCTAGATCCTCCTGCCTCAGGATAGTTGTTTCATAGATGTTTAAGAGGTGAACAGAAAATGTACAAATGAGGACTTCTCTGTGATTTTTAACAGATGAATGCTGGTTGAATGCAATACTTCTAAAAAAAATATCAAAATGTTGTGTTGTTTAATGATTTAGTGCATACTTCAAGGCACCAAATATTGGTGGTGTGATGTGTTACATAGTAAAATGAAGAAGATCTGACATTTATTTTGGATGGTTTCTTTTTTGGTAGTGAGAATTGAACCCAGGCCCTTTGCACTGAGTTATATCTGCAGCCCCTTTTTGAAAATTTAAATTTTATGTTTATTTTGAGATGTGGTCTCATTGAGTTGCTAAATGCTTGGGCTGGATTCAAACTTATCTTCCTTCCTCAGCCTCCCAGAGTAGTGGGATTGTAGGTGTTAGCTACTCCCCCTGCCCCCCTACTCAGGATTGAACTCAGGATCTTAGTTAAAAATAGAACATTTATGGCATCTTCAATACATCTTTGATTAAGAAGCGCCTGCTGATTTATATCCCCAAGCCCCCTGTCCCCCATAAGCTACAAGATGGGGATCTGATAATTTTTAATTGATTAAGTTCTTTTGTTCTACTAACATTTGTCTACTAATTAATGTGAGTTAGAGTCTTTTAGAAATACTTAATATTTGTAGGGGCCGGGGAGATGGCTCAGTGGAATAAGCGCTTCCCTGGCAAGCGCAAGGGCTTGAGTTCAATCCCCGGTTCTGCAAAAAAAAAAAAAAAAAAAAATAATATTTTTAACTTTCAAAATAACTTGGTTAAAAATAGAACATTTATGGCATCTTCAATGCATCTTTGATCATCTATCCTTTGAAAGAGTTGGGGAAAACAAAAGGTATCTCTTCTATATCCTCTATTTTTATATAACCTCATAGGTTGGACTTTTTACATTACATGATGAGACAGTCCTGAGCAAGATATTTTACAGAAATTGACATAAGGGGCTGGGGAGATAGCTCAGTGGAATAGGCGCTTCTCTGGCAAGCACAAGGGCCTGAGTTCAATCCCCAGTTCCGCCAAAAAAAAAGAAACTGTATATGAAACTCATGATACTATCTGTGTAACAGTGTTAATGTTTAAGATTTCCTGTAATTTGGTCTTGTTTTGAGATTCAAAAGTGCACAAGCAATGCTATTGAGATAGTAAATTTTTGTGGTTAATCAGGTGTTCTAGTATTACAGTGATAGAATATAAAGTAGTACAGCACTGTCTTCATTGTCAAAAGTTGTGTACAGTTAGAAGTTTTGTTTCTTCTGTGTTTAGGCATCAGTAACTATCCCTGCTTTATTTCATAATATTGATATAAAGATTTTAACATTTTCAATTTCCATGGGGTTTCTTTTGGGGGAGATTGCAAAAAGACCTAACTTAATTGGTCCTTTTTTTTGAGACTGGGTTTCAAAATTATGCAGTTGAGATTGGCTTTACACTCACTTTGTAGTCCAGGTTGGCCTCAGCCTCCTCAGTGCTGGGATTAAAGGAATATGCCACCATGCCTTCCTCGAGTGGTCTTGTTTTTATTATTATTTTTTTAATCAGATCCTTCAACTTTTTTTTGAGTGAGACAGGGTCTTGCTATGTAGTTCAGGCTGGCAGTGAACTAACAATAGAGCCATGGTTGAGCTCAGTTTCTTCAGTGCTGGGATTACAGGTGTATATCACCACACCCAGTTTCTTTAACTGTATTTTTTTGTAGGACAGCTCAAATTTGATTGCTCCATGTATTTCTTTTTTTCTTCTTATTTTTCAAAAAATTTAAGCGAAGCAGCGGGTCAGTGGCCCTGCCCCTGGGTATGCTGAGAAGGTGATTAAGACTGGGTGTGGTGACGGGTGCCTGTAATCCCAAATGGACAGCTGAAAACAGGAGGATCACTGCTAGTGAGATTTAGTGAAGTCCTGTAGA